CCTGTGTCACAGTTTCACAAATCCCCCTGTGCGCTCTTGTTGCACATGTCTGCCCAAACCAGCCTGGATCCTCTTGCAGGCTGACCCCTGTCTGGAGAGCGTCGTGGATGACCGTGTGTCTGCTCTCTCCCGCAGACTCGGATCCGCAGGCTGACGTCTACGTGGAGGGCAAGGACCAGCTGGGCGGGTGGTTCCAGTCCTCCCTGCTGACCAGCGTGGCTGTGCGCAACAAGGCCCCCTACAGGTCAGGCCTGGCGCTCGCCAGTGCCCGTGCTGTCAGCAGCATTTGTTCTAGTTATATTAGTGTTAATGTTGTTATTATTCTCAGTATTGTTTTTGTATTGTTAGCAGTGATTCTAATATTGTATTATTCTCAGTATTTTACAGTTGTATTCAGTTCCCGTTTTGTATTTTAGTGCAAGAAAACCTTCTTAATCAGGTGCCATAACCTGCTTCCTGTCAGTGATGTGTGGCTTTTTTGTGCGTTTTTCTGGGTCACTGCACACAAACATTCTCTTGTGCATCAGTGTACGTGTGAGGCTGGGTTTGTTGGTGCAACATTGTCAGGTTTATCTCTGCGTCAGTGTGTGTATGTCAGCATATTGCTGTGTGTGTCTCATTGTGTCAGTGTGTGGATGTCAGTAGGTCATTGTGTTTATATTTGACACTGTGTGTGTTGCTGTATGTGTAAAGCAGTGTGCCAATATTCCTTATATTTAGTGTATTTGAGGATTGTGAACTGTGACTAACACTGTCCTTCTCTGTCGCCCCCTGTGGCAGGTCGCTGGTAGTGCACGGTTTTGCTCTGAGTGAGCAAGGGGAGAAGATGTCCAAGTCTCTGGGGAACGTCATGGACCCCGATACGGTCATCAATGGGGGCCCGGTGAGGACGGACACGGTCTCTCACACATTCATCTCTCAAGCCAGGTTCTCTCCATGAACCCCCACGCTAGAGGAGGGGTGTCTTCAGAGACAGATATGCAGAACACATTACACAGCATGAGCAGGAGGTGATGCCGCTATCAGATGGATGTTTTCCGCAGCTGATTACTAAGCAAGGAAGGAAGCGGCTATATCTACCCTGCGGCTCACAGCCGGCAGCCCACTGAAGCTCAGCTGGTGTGAGCCTGGTCAGTTCCTGGAGACCTCCTGGGAAAAACTAAGGCTGCTGCTGGAAGAGGTGTTAAGAGGGGCCAGTAGGGGGCGCT